CACACACACACACACACACACACACACACACACACACACACACACACACACACACACACACACACACACACACACACACACACGATCAGATGATACCCTCTGTGACAAGTTATGTGAATGTGTAGTATTATAAATATTAATAACATTTTAACAAAATCACAACGTAAAAATATGGAGTAGTGCAGTAAGCAAATCACTATAAGAGTGCAATATTTGGGGAAGGTTAAATATGTGGAAATATCTTAATTAAATATTGTGTTAGTGACCTCGTGGATTCATCTTCTTACTATAGACACATGCATTTCCTAACATTCGGTCTATATGCTGTATAATGTATTATCTCTTCGATTTACACACGGCATCTATTGCACGTCTGTCCGTCCTGGGAGAGAGATCCCTCCTCTGTTGCTCTCTCTGAGGTTTCTCCCATTTTTTCCCCTTTAACACTGTGGGTTTTCTCTGGAAATGTTTCCTTGTACGATGTGAGGGTCTAAGGACAGAGGGTGTCGTTTTTCTCATACTGATATTCTGAACAATCTGTGCTGTTGTATTTGCTTTAAAGTATCTCTACTGTAGGCTATTTTTATTATATGTACAGCACTTTGGCTCGACCAAAAATCGTTTATAAATGTGCTATATAAATAAAACTTGATTTGATTTGACACAAATCACATTACAAATGCAATTTCAGTCAAAATCATTAGTTTTTTTGGACAAATTGTGCAGCCCTACTACCAATTTCTAACAATTAGCCACATTTTATCTTTGTCTATTCCCAACAAAGCTCTAGTAATCTGAATTGTATGTGATTTGTTTTTCTTTTCACCTGTGTGAGTGCGGGCGTGTCGTCGGGTGTCAGGCGGATGGTGGGGATGTCGAGTTGGAGCCATGGCGGCTTCTTCCTCTGCAGGCTGCTGTTCATGCTGCCCGGCTCATCCATGCTCTCTTGCCCCCCCTACGCCTGCCAGCTGGACAACACACACAGAAAAGATTTCAAAGTCAATTGTATTGTCAATCTTTCAGTTTGTGTGTACAGACAGAGAGATCGAAATACCGTTTCCCACAATCCCGAATACAAAAATACAAATATATATAAAAATATCTATACAAATATGAAATATCCTATATATACACAATCAACAGACACATGTATACATATGCACACACTAAGACATAAATAAAAGCACAGCAATCAATATGTACAAAATAACAGTCACTTCAATAACTTTGAGACAGTGTCTGATTTGTTGGTGGGGCAACAGTCAAAATACGCCCACACACACCACAGGAAAGAGGATTCAGACCATGAAAAAGCCCAAAAAGCTGACCGGCTTTATTGAGTAATTACAGTCAGTGTGTTTATAATCCGAGTCTTCTGGTGTGGGCTCAGACAGATCCAGAGGGGAGGCAAAACGCCTGAATAAACTCACCACGTAATCCACAGAATTAAAGCTACTAGTCTGCCAGCCGTCCCCTGCATCTATTCCAAAAGTCGACAGATTCAAAATGTTAGGAATATAAAGGCTAAGGGCGCCATCTCATTGGTGTCCGTCAACAACATAGTTCTGTGTGAATAATCTTACTGATATTACCTGAGTATCCCTCGCATTGACAGGAAGTTAAAGCATTATCTGCTCCAGGTGAGGCTTGAACTCACAACCTCGGCATCACTCTGCAGGTTACTGTTTTATAAGTACCACACGCTGACCGACTGCGCCACTGGAGCATCTGTAGCCTCTGTATTGAACTGAACATTCACAGTTGATGTGTGATTTTGGCTTATTTTTGGGCTCACAGGAAACATAATGTGTGTTACAATAGTGTATTGGGCCATTGTAGGTAAAACAAAAATATTATCATTGAAACTAAAGCGTTGCTACACTTTGTTGGATCAACCATATCACACCACAGAGTTCTAGACATTGAAAATAAATTGCTGATATTTGGGCCTTTTCAGGAGAACACACTGATTTGGCTGAGGTGATAGCTTCTTTGCATCAAGAATTACATCAAAAAAAGCTGCAGACAGATGAAGGATTCCTCTATGGTCCATACTGTTGCAACAGACACACAGCTGTTTGGTTTCCCTCACAATGACACCTTCTGGCTGGTCTGATTCAAGTAGAAAGTCAGGATTTCTAAGTGTGTGCGTATATGACAGGGGTCTAAACTTGCTCCAGGTGAGGCTTGAACTCACAACCATATAAGTACCTTCTCCCTCAAGAATGACAAGTTCTATCTGCTCAGTGAATTATCATGACCACTATAGGCGCGTTCACACTGCAGTACTTTTCCCACTTTAGTTCCGATATAGTTCCGAAATGTCACGTTCACACCAAAAAGAGCCAGAACTAAAATGAGTTCATGAGAACCTTTCTACCCCCTTTTCCGTCCCTGCTAGGGACTTTCATGCGGCTCTCTTGTGAGTAAAGAGCTNAAAATGAGTTCATGAGAACCTTTTTACCCCCTTTTCCGTCCCTGCTAGAGAGCAGGGACTTTCGTGGGAGAAAAAGGTTCCTATTTCTGTTTGGCTGAGCGGATTGCAAACCACGCCTCGTGAAACTCCATAAAAGTTTTGTGAAGCCGCCATTTTATTATCCTTGCATTAGCATTATTAGCATTAGCATTAGCCCAGCGCACAGACGCAGAGAGACTAACTTATGGCAACACAAAATAAAACATGGGAGCGGTGGAGATGAGGAGGTGTCGGCG